TTAAGCAATCCTGCTAGGGCTTCTTGATGCGTAAGGCGCCAATCGGTGGGGGGCCTGGTCTTGCTCGTGAGTTGGTGCTGGAATTGGTATGCGGAGATTCGGATTGGCGCTGGAAGGAGGGACGGGAGTGGGGGGGGGGGGGGGGGGGGGGGGGGGCGAGGACAAGCGAGGCGGTGAAGGACCGAGGGATGAACATGTAAAGAATAGCAGGAGGGAAATAGCAGGAGGAAACTGGAATGTTGATCATAGAGGAAGGAGTGAAAAACAGCAGAAGAGGGGTCGAGATTCTGCGAGTGTTCAGGAAAAGGGAAGAGCGAGAATTTGGAGGGATCGCATCGCGGAGGAGAGGATATATGTTCACGAGACAAATGTTCCCCGCCAGCGAAGATTGGTAGCAGTGCAGAAGGCTGCGGGGATCGGGATTGAGACGGGCGTGGTGGAGGCTGCTTATGAATGTCGATGAGGACGCGGAGAGGATTGGGCGTAGGAGCCACTGGCTCTTTGCGGCGGACAGGTATGACGAACACCGATGCATTAGACGGAGCTTCTCATAGTTGGGAGACCGTCGAGGCGCAGGTTTGGATTGATGTAGAACGATAGATCATAGGCGTGAGGGTGTGCACCGTTGACGGTTAAACCGCGCGGCGAGAGCGTCTTGCTCATGCAGCGGCGAGGTAAAAGCCATCCGAAAAGTGCAGTCATCCCCGGATGGTAAGGAAAGCGCCTAGTCGTCGTGGGGGAAAGGCGGGAGTAGGCAGTGTGGCTATGTTCGCTAACCAGATTGATTGGCGCTTCGGCTGGTCCGCCTCTCTTCGTCCTATCCACGCCCACAATCCCCACCCAGCCCGTTCCATTTGTACAGTACGCCTTTCAATCTGCCACTCGCCGGGGCTGATACGCTGAAAGATCCAATGGACTCTAGTCTCGCGGGCTTGCCCACCGGCACTCGCGCGCCCACCGCGCAGGGGGCGCTGCAGATCCGACCCATGCTCGAGGCTTGGGCGTCGCACCTCGCAGAGGACTCCGAACGCGTTTACGTCATCGTCACAGAGAAGCTCTGGTGATATCTCAATACCGTGTTATCCGCACTCAGGACCTTCCCCGCAGAAACCCTGGGCTGTATCGTCCTCTTCTGCCGCGACGACAGCATTCTCGTGGATGGCTACAGTACAGATAATCCGACCGCGGCGCCCATGGTTCTGGACTCCCAAAGGCCGCCTTCACCAACCGAGAGGCGCTCGTCCCCCAAATTGTGGCCAGTTCTACCCTAGCCAAGGCAACATAGAATCCTTCTCCTCGGGCTGCGTCATTCACGTCACCTGTCATTTTCGACTCCCGATATTCGTCTTCTGGGTTCGGGAATTCGTATGCTGTTACTCGGCGATAATAGAATAATTGCTGACCTTTTGTGGACTCATATTTCTCCAACAGGTCAATTGTCTGCCCTGGCTCCGTTCATTGAGCCGAACCTCATTCACGAAACTTAACCGTTTTTCGATCACCTTGACTGTGTCGTGCACCGCAGTCAGGTGCGGTTCCCCTTCATCACCGAATCACAATCTAGCACCCTCAAATTCCTACTCCGCATCCCAGAGGAAACATCTGTCCCCGCTGGATATCCTCCTGCTGCATGAATCGCTTCCTTCGGCATTCGTCTCGATGGCGCCTATTTTCGCCCCAAACCTCTGATAAACTCCTTCATTCTTGCTGCCGCGTTTTGCGCCGACGCAAACCCCATTCTAAGCTGAGATCTCAAGTTACCAAGCATCGTTGCCGCTCGGAATTGATTCGCTGTCGAGTCGGCGATTATTGACTACTGCCTGGTATTCTCCTCGACGCCTGGTTCGTTCTTATCTCTTTCACTTTGACGCATAGTACGCGATTGCCGGTATTGTGTGGGCGTTCTCAAATTTCCCATCGGCTTCTTCGTGCCATATATCCTACGCGACTTGTCGGGGAGGACGCCAAGAGAGCCGGCGGTTTTCTGCATACTAGCTCCCCGCTGCAGTGAGATGCAACTATCCTTTCTAATCCGCGGCTCTGCGCGTTCGTGTCAAATCATTCCGCAATGGATGCGGTCCCCAAGTATTGCTCCTCCCAGTCAGTCAGTCAACTATGTCCGCTTCCGCGCGCGTCTTTTCCAGCTAAAGTTGGCTCATAGCGTGAGCCCATATACTCGCCTCCCGCTCCCGCATCCAGAACGGACCAAAATCAACTTATAGCTGACGGGTCCCTTGAAAATCTGTTGGATCCCTGGATGACTGGAAGCCTATGCGGTACTACACTGATCCCAGTGAGAACCATTTTCTACTGCCGAAATATTCAGAATCCGGGAGGCTGGCATTTTGTGCACTATTCTGGCCGAGTGTATATATTATCAGTGCAATTGATTTCGTTTGCCTGTTCCAGCCAGAGCGCCGACCAAACTTAGGTAGCGATTCTGGACGCACGACTTATGGACGTGCACCGAGATCTTCGCGGTGCCTCTTTTTTTCCTTACGTTACAGCATCTTGCTTTAGCTCTCCGTCGCGTATGCATCCATGAGCGCTCTGCCGGAGCAATGCCTAAGGCACGTCGCAGTCTCACGCCGGGCTCCAACATCACCAAGATTCAATCCATCTCCAGAATCACCAGTCGGGGAGGAAGCCCCGGTACGGGGCCCAGGAATCAAGGAACTGACACGGACTCAGGCAACGTTGCACAATAGAACGGCGAATGTTCGCATCGATTCAGTGAAGCTGCGAGCTTCCGGTGCGAGGGCCATCTCTGTCAGAGGACTAGTCAATATTAAACCATGGCTGTCCCCTGTCAAAGGATTGACAGGATGAGCAGTGAGCGGACGGATTCCGTGATTAATCAGCAGATGGACCAGTCAGACGCTGTTGGCTGCAAATACCGGTTGAGCAAACTCGCGCTGCGAAATAATGAGGTGGTCAGAGATAAAACTGGGGCAGTCTGAAGATACCGGCGAGTCAAGTGAATCCTATTACACAGAGCTTAGAGAATCACTCAAAGATAGGCCGCGGAGGTCGGAGTGCTGGTCCAATGTTGAAGCATCAGCCGCATCTCTTCTTGAAGCTGTTCCTAGACCTTCGGCAGGTCCGAACCCTCTCAAAATAGCGAACTGAGGAGAGAGATCGTCATGGATGACGACTGGCACAACTCGGATGCGCGTTGCGGCTGAGAAATTGCGACTTTTCAGGCATTAACGCGGAAAGAGTGCGACATGTTCTATTCGAACCCATTGGATGACAACTCCTACCTGGGGCCCGCAGGCTATAAGTACGCACCGGTCAAATCCAAGGCAGTATCTGTCCCGACCATGATTCTAGCCATCCTCTGCTCTCTCCTGGCATTCCTGCCGGTCGTTCCCGTCTACGCCAAGCTCGCAGTCATTGTTCGTCGATTCCATTTGAATCTCGCGAGTGTTGAATAACTCAAGTACCATTCCAACCCAGGTCCCCTTATACTCCTACCCCTCGAAAACTGCGACGTGGCGCCACTCGAGTCGGCGTGCGTACCCCGCTCGCTATCTCGGTTTCATTCCCCCTGACTTGTGCACTGCAGCATAGTCGGCTGGCCCGCCCTGCAATTCTACGTCATCGTCAACCCCGACAGCGGGCCCGGTGCCGCCAACTCGCAGCCGGACAGCAACTACCGGACGGCCGTGGCGGCGCTCCGTAGCCACGCCAACGTGCTGCTCCTGGGATACGTGCACACGAGCTACGGCGACCGTGCGCTCGCCGACGTGCAGTAGGACATCACGACTTACGCCGGGTGAGCGACCGCGTACAGCCTCGCCGGCATCTTCTTCGACGAGACGCAGCCGGGACTCACGGCGAAGTACACGTCGTACACCGCTGCGGCGCGGTCCGCCGCGTGGCCCGGGAGAACAACCGGATATGTGCGCGTCCTTTTCACTCCAAGGAACGTGCGGGGATCTGACGGGGGTGCAGGTCATTCTGAATCCCGGGGAGGACATCGGCGGCTCGAATTACTATAGCCTCGCGGACCAGATCGTCACATTCGAAGATACGTACGCGGAGTATCAAGATCAGGCACCGTACGTCGCGTTGCTTCGTGATCGACCTAATTTAATTCAATTGGTTCCCCGAATTTCAGGCTTCCGCTGCCGCATCCCGCGCAGCAGTCTGTCTTAATTCACACGTTCACCGGCACCGCCCAAGCCCTTGTATCGGTGGTGCAGACACTCCAGACGTCGGGCTTTGCGAGCACCTACATCACAAATCTCAACCTCGCCACAACCGATGTGTATGGCAGCTTTGGGAGTGATTTCGCGGAATTTGTGGGGGATGCGAACGGCGCTGGTCCTACCTCCGGTTGATAGTACTACTGGACTTGATATTCGATTGTTTCAACTCCCTCTCATCCGGAGTTTTCCTGAGACAACACATGTGAATTTACCTTAGTTTCCAGAGAGTAGCCTAGCCACTTCTTGTCGGAACTACGGGGCAGGCGGCATTATCACAGGTTAGAGGGATGGGAACTCTCTCTAGCTCCGCACAGGCGCCAAATACGAGACTCAAGTACACGTCCATTCACTTACTCGGAGTACTCACTCGGCAGTGAGAAATTTGGTCTACGCTTCATGACTTCGATAATGTTGTTCTGCGTGCCACGTCGAATTCAGCAATGGATATGAAAATATAAGGAGCAGAGGCGGTTGATCATTGCGGACTGCATCCTAGTTGGCGTAGCAAACGAGATCGATATGCGCCCATGAGTGAACTGAGGCGCTGAATATGTGGCGAGCTGAATCGGAACGAAAGTCGAGCCTTGGACGTCACCCACGGGCCAAGATATCGATCGAAGAAGGGACGCAGTAATTATATGTCCTCGGCGTATTTCAGTAATGCCTCTGACAACCGCTGCACCGTGCAAAAAAGGACGAACCATCCCTCAAATGTCTCTGGTTCCTTTGCGGTGAGTCCCGGCGCTATAAAGTTAAATATTACAAAATTCGCAGGGAGGGGAGTAAGGCCCGGTAGCAAACGGACCGCACCTGCACCGAATGATCCCTTCAGACGCAACCAGCAGGAGTGCTCGTTCGACTCGAGCCCGGGCCATTCGAGATGGTGCACCTTTTTCTCCCCGGGTGAGCTGATTTTGGTGGATGATCTTGAAGACAACCAGACTGTCAGGGAGCGCACTATGCAGTTAGCATTACCGCCGCTTTGCGGTGAGTGCTAGTCGTTCATTTACTTAAAGTTGGATGTAATCAGTTCCAAGGGGAGGCAAGGAGCCCTGGTCGCAGATGGTCCGCACCTAGGCCCGATAAGTCTGCATCGGAATGTTAACAGGGGCGCTCGTTCGAATCGAGCCCGGGCCATTCTTGGGTCCGACATTTTGGGGGCGAGGCCAGGCGAGTTGCATCCGGTCGCTCACTACAGTTGAATGTAAGCAATCCACGGGGAGTAGAGAAAGGCCCGGTAGCGGGTGGTCCACCTAGATGCCCCACCGTCGAGCGATATACAACCGTGAAGCTTCTCCCCATCGAATCCAGAATCCAGAATCTAAGCGTCAACGTAAACGGGAGGAATCCATGTAATAGGGGTGGGAGAAGCGACGCGACGCCCGTGAGGGGTGCGATGACGTATGCGGGATGTGCAGCAGAAGATCCCTTGCGGAAGACGCGCGGTGTGCCCCAAGCGAAAAGGAACGGGATGCGTTGCGCCAAGAGCCGCGTGCCGGGCCGCAGTAACACCCCCCCGGAGCAGAGATGGAGGGCAACGCAAAAGCAGAAGACACGGATATGACCAAACGCAAGAGCGAAGGGGAGAAATGCGAGGCAATCATCGGAGGGTTGAGGGCGACGGGCGCAGCGATGTGGAGATGCATATGCAGAAGCACCCGCACTGGTATACAGCCGTGCAGCAGCGGCCACCGCGCGCGCAGAGGCAAAGGCGTGGGCATATGCGTGTGCATCCGCGCGGTGCGGTGCGGCGTCTGCGAGTATGGCCGCGGTCATGGGTTATGTGGGCCGCCACGGGCAGCGGACATGTACACATAGTGCGGCGTGCGCGCTGTGCGTACGGCTGCGGAACGTAGAGCGGAGAACGCAGAGCGCAGAACGTGCGTCATGCAGGCGCGAGACAACGGAACAGGTGCGGCGCCGGATGCGGATGCAAGCGCGCGCCCACGGGTAGACGGAGAGGAGCGGTGCGCGTGGGCGGGGGGCGGCGTGCGGTGGGAGAACTGAATGCAGGTGTGGGTGCAGCTTCCGTGCGGCGCGCGCGGCTCGGGACAGGGCTAGGACTGACGAGGACGCATCGGGGGGGCATGGTGCGAACCCCGAGGTGGATGCGCACCGGCCGGGGCGTAGACACAGTGGTGGGATGCGGTGGCACGACTCACGAGGACCGCGTCGCCACGAAGCACGCCGTCACATCGTCACGGGTCAGCAGCAGGCGTCAACAAAGAGCACCGCCGCACGGGAGTTGCCGCTGGGTGGTCTGCTCTAATCTAACTTGAATCCGCCGACGCGGTGGGCCAGAAATACCTATGCCCGCTTAAAATTCAGTATGTTTACCAGAATCGCAAAATCCGAGAATCTCAACTGCGAACTCGATTAGGATAGGGGTCTACATATTCCGCGGTGTCCCGCAAGGGAATTCAAGTCACCGCACAGAAGAAAATGCCCTGGAGACTAATTCATCGCTCGGACTCGAGTGGAGATGCGGCTGGGGAGGGAACCCCGCTACCGGCGTTCCTATGTCGCCTCCCTGTGCGCGGAGTTAGGTGAACAGTAATTCCAAGTGAAGATTCTCCGCCGCCCGCCCTGCGCATGGGAACTCGGGTCGATGGACATTCCATGTTATTGGCATATGAGCACTCGGGCACATCACCGAGGCTCGGGGATATCTCGGGCAAGTACGCGACTCACCGTGACTCAATGTGAATCATGCAGAACAAGAGAGAATGCTCAAGAACAGTACAGAACAGTATGGAATATTTATTCTATGACTCAGAGTGATTCGGATAGACAGTATAAATAGAGTAGGAAAAGCCACATAACCTTACGAGCTTGTACCATCCGCCCTCACGGGCATCGTGTAAATCTTATTCTGATTGAACCGAATATTGCGTCAACTTAAAGATTGAACTCCTTCAAGCATAAACTCCATCACATGTTCATCCCAGGAAAGGATTGCCACTCACGCTGCGGAGAAACCCCTATTCGGCGCACCCAAATGGCCTGGGTTCGAGTTAAACGAGCAGCGGGGGCGCGGACCGTCCGCTGCCGGACCTTCCTAGCCTTTCCCGTGAGCCCTGTTTCATGCAACTTATTGAGTGAATTCTGCCCACCTGCAGAGATCTCGAGATGGCTGAAGAGCGAGTATTATGTCAAACGCGGGCTGATTGCACACACGGGAATACCCGCTACCGTCTTTCTCTATTCTCCATACGAGTTTCGTCAATTTTAAATCCATTCAATGGATTCGGCGAGCCTGCAGACAAAAGAAGGTTTGCTCCGAGACGAAGCATGGCTCGAGCTCGAGCCGATCGAGCGCTGCTGCGGGCTCCACCTGACGTTTACGAGGAAGTTTTTGATGCAGGCGGGGAAACCCACCGCTATCGGGCCGTGCTTGATTCCCGGTGAGCTTGTGTTACATCCAATGTTATGGAGCGAGCGAATTCGACTCACCTACTGCAAAAAAAAACCACTTTGTAGATCCATGGCCCGGGCCCGAGTCGAACGAGCGCTCCCGCTGAAACTGCACCTTTGTCCACAATCGGCTACAGGTGCGGACCACCGCTACCGGGCCTTCCTACACTGCCTGTGAACTTGATTAGGTTCAAATTTATTGACAGAACGAAATCAACTCACCGCAGAAAAAGAGAAAGTGTCGAAGGAAGAGTTCTGAGTGGAGGGCCCGGGCTCAATTCGAACGAGCGCTCCTGCTTTCAATCTGCGGCTCACGTTATATGGTGTGGCAGAGCCGTATGGCCGGCGTGTGGAAATCCATCCACACGTTGGTTTCGGCTTGAGCCGATTCCTATTTTTATTTTTGGTTACATCATTAAGGTCGTTCACGGTTCCATTTTTCCTCCCATTTTTCGGTCCATTTTTCATTCCATTTTTTGTTCCGTTTTCCAAATAAATATATCCGCATCAAACAGGGTGGGAGACAGGCTTTTTTTATGCCATGGATGCACGTATGAGGCCCCCTGAGATGTCCCGTAGGGATCTGAACTACACAGGGATGTAAACCTAAGTAAAGCGAAAAAAGGAGTGCAAAAAGGGAGAGAAAAATGGAGCTTTCGTCGGGGGGTTTCATAGTTCACTTTTTCTGGCCATTTTTCTCCTCCCTCTTTTCTGCCGTCTCATGGATTCTGCATTTAGACACTTCGTTTCCTCCATTTTCAACCCTTTTTACATCACTGAATGGAAAAGGGAAAAAATCCTGAGCAAAAACCAAGTAAAACCAAAGATCCAGCAAAAAATGGGGGGGGAAAATGGGAGAAAAAAGTGAACTGTGAACGACCCTATTATTTGTACAGTAAATACGAGCCACGAGGCAAAAACATGATCTTCCTTGCTTCCTACGCTCACCGTGCGAGCCAGTGCGGTCTAGTGACCGATCCCCGTGTCCTCTCGTGTCGAACTTCACTCTACAAAACCTCGTCTGTACACACTCGGCGTGCGGAAGCCTTCGTCATTGCAGTTTCACGTGGAATCTGCCACACATCAATTTATACGACCTACACCGCCAAAGTGCCCACAGGTTACCATCACCTGGAAAACTCACATAGTGGCCACATTTTTTGACACCTGGTACCAGCTTGTGTCCAGGTATATGCCAGCTTCAAATTCAACCCGGAATTTCAGCTGTCCGCCAGCTGCATTCTACATGGTCGCAATATTTCTTCGGCAGCCTCCTGCCAGGCCTTAGCCCAGAATATTGATAATTTTTGCACAATATGGATGATGGTTTCAGGAATTATTTGAGAACATACCTAGACATACCTACATACCCCTATATACCCTACTGCAAGGACTTCACACCCAACGTCACGGTTGAACCGCCGACTCACAGAAGAGAATCACGGTACCGAGCCCCAGTCGGACTGCAATCTAATCTGCTCACCATGATACTCCGACCGGTCCAGACTTAACTGAGATGATGTCGCTCAGTTGGTTTGTGGGCGAATCGAGAGGTAGGTCCGTGCGCCTGTTTGGCCGTGTATCTCTCATCACGTGCATGTTGGTTGTGAGCTCTGAGTCGTCTTTTTCCTCCCACCTCCACCATCCGCACTTCTTTCACCAACAGCTAACCCATAAAGGTTGGACATAAATGCCTCGGACTCTACAGGCCAACAGCATGTCAAACCTGAACGTCCGCAAGTAGAACAACACTTGAGGTTGGCATAGGCTGCAAAACGCGTCGAAGCAGCGGGTTCGCAACCACACTGCGGCAAATGTGTCTTCGTCCCCTTTAGTGGTTGAAGCTCCGCTACAGCCGCACTTTGAGGCAGAGCTGGCGCTGGCATGTGCGAAGGACCCTCCGACCACCATGCCAATGTCGGTGTCATTTGGCATGTGCTTGCTTATTTCATTTCCCCGTCAAAATTAAACTCTCGAGTTGAGTACCTGGTCCTCAAGAATGGTCTTTTCAAGATGTGTCCGCCTCGCCCTCGGTATCGGGGACGGCTTTAAGTCAACTTCAAACTTCGTCCTCAAGTGCCGAAAAATTCAAGCCCTCACGCGACGTCTTGGAATCCTCAAATCTCGTTTGAAGCCCTAAAACTCAAGCTTAAACCCTCAAGTTTTTCTTGTCCTTCTGCTTCCGTTGACTCCATTCGCGCTGTCTACCTCCGGAATTTCGTTCAAGTTCTCAAGATTTCAAGTCTTGAAACCCTACTGCTTCGATTCTCGGGCCCTCTCGCGGATGTCGACTGCCATTGCTGATTCCATCGCCCTTGCTGAGGTCAAATTGTGAGTCACAAGTCCGGACGAATACCCTATTGATGATTTTCTGCAGCTGAAACCACGAAGTGCAACGGTTTTCTAACGTCATTTAAGTATGCGCTGCGTGCATGTGTTTGCATTGAAGAGACCTTTGTT